AAGGTCTGTCCTACCATTTAGTTGTTAGCAATGTTTCAGCTCCTCATGTCATCGTTTCTAATCCGTCAGATTTTCTTTTTCATAGTTTAATTCTAAATCAGTCACAAACTGTCTCCTGAGAAACTTTAGCTCATAAGATGAAAGATATTCTTGTTAAAGACATAGTCATGAAAAAGTTTGGGCACCCCTATTAACCTTGATTATTTCATTTCTAAATATTTAGCTGTTTGCACCAGCTTTTTCAGTTTGATATATCTAGTGACTGATTGACACAGTAATATTTGAGGTTCATTGCACTAACACAAAATGTGCAGTACGCATTAAAACAAAATATGACAGGTGTAAAAATATTAGCACCTCAGCAAAAAGAGACTAATATTTTGTAGATCTTTCTTTTGCAGTCTCTAGTTGCTTCCTGTTGCATTGAATTAGTTCCTGGATGAAGGGATTTTTGACCGTTTTGCTTTGCAAAACAATTCCAGTTCGGTTAAGTTTGATGGTCGCCAAGCATGGACAGCCTGTTTCAATTCATCCCACTGATGTTCAATGATATTCAATTCTGTTCAGTTTATTTCTATAGCACCAATTCACATGTCATTTCAGGTCACTTTACAGATCATCCAGTCAGATTGATTCAAAGCTTTCTATCTTAGGAAAACCAGCTGATTGCATCGACTCGCTGGCTCTGTTCCAATTCATGGGCTGCATTCTTCAAGGACGCGGTCTACCTGGACTGGATCCTTAGAAGTCCTTGAAAATAAGGAGAGTAGAAGAGTTTTGGCTGTGAATTCAAACCCCCTTTGGTGGGTTTTACTGCCATAGGCTATCTTGCTTAGCAACCATGAGAATTTACACACAAAGCAGGAAAAGAATGAATTCTGAAGTTTTCAAAACTGTTTCTTTTTTATTTATTTTTTGTATTATAAAGTGAACAAAGACTCATGATAATCCAGAGTGGAATAAAGGTTCCAACCACCGGGAGCAGGAACAGATAAAAGCAAATATGATGATAGAAACCTTAGTCAGTTAAATAACCTGCTGCTGTCATTCTGCACATCACTGATGTTGCTGCTAAACATATTTACACAGTAACAGAAACAAAAATCAAACATTACCGCCACATATTCAACTCAATAACCATTAAAACAACTATTTTCATTCATTTCAGACGGAACTATTCACAGACTGGATTATATTAAACTGAACTTCCAATTTTCACCACTGTTCCTGTGATCACGGAGCAGTCGGCTTGCTTGGTCTCACAATGAATCCTGGGAAAACCAAGGATACACACGATACATCGGACCCGTCCTTCAAATCGGGCAAAAACAAGGACGAATTTGTAGGCCCCATAACGAGGAGTCTTGAAATCCGAGAAGACCTTGACATAATCGTCCTTTGCATCTGGCCTTCTGAGGATGCAGCCCATGAATTTGAACAGAGCCATTGACTGTTCAGCAATCCCTCACACTAAGCATGCTTGTAGTGACAGTGGAGAGGAAAAACTCCCTTTGAACAGGAAGAAACCTCCAGCAGAACCAGGCTCAGTGTGAGCGGCCATCTGCTGAGGCCGACTGGTGGGAATTATGAAAAAGGGGTCCCTATGTCCTCCAGCAGTCTAAGCCTATAGCAGCAGAACTATA